CATCCTCCCATCTGCCTTTCCCCACATTGCATCGAGTTCCATCTCTAAGCCTTGTCTACATACCTCCTTAACATGGCTCCAACCTGCCCACTCCACCCCCACCCCCACCCCCACCACTCATGTGCCCTCCTCTTCAGCCTATGGTGAACCTCTCTCCTGGTCCCTGTGTGTACCACACTGGACACAGATACCGTCTCTGCTAGGCCAACTCAACTCCTCCTGTCTCCTCTGACGTGTTGGGGCACTGCCTCACGACCCATCCAACCCCACCCTCACTGACCACCCAACCTGGTCCCTCCTTCCACTAGTCCCAGTTGACATTCTCACTGCTCACTCCTTTCCCCAACCCAAATTCAGATCCACCGGAGAGAACCCAGTTTTGGATCTCTTTTTCCAAGAAGACTTCCCTGGTCAATCTCTTCCACCCTGACCACCCTGAAACCTGCAAACAGGATCAGCAAGCACCATGCCTGGTTTTTATTTTTTGCTTGCTGTACTTGCTTGTGGAGTAGGATGGCATAGAGGGCAAAAGTGCAGCTCCCAGGGTCAGGCAAACCTGGGTTCAAGTCCTGGCTCTGCCACTTGCTGGCTGTGTGACCTTAAGCAAGTTATTTAAACTCTCTGCACTTTAATTTCCCCATCTATAAAATGGGGATCATTATTTTGAAGAATCAATGAGCTAAAGTGCTTAGCATAGTGGCTGATATGTGATAAATGCTCAATGAAACTTAGTTCTTTATCGTCAAACACACACACAATCTTTATAATTAGATTTTAAATGCCACAAAGGCAAGTACCAATTCAAATCTGTTTTAAAATGGGAGAAAGACAAGCTGGTGCTCAGAAACCATTCCTCTGGTTCCCACACTGGCCCTGACCCCATCTTTCACTTCAAGCTTTCTTTTTTTCCCTTCCCATTGAAACTGCAGTATTAAGAATCTATCTATAGCTGACATCCCAAGCACCCCAAGAACTGTAGTTAGTTCTCTGTGGCTCCAGGTTGAGGTGAAAATAAAGTTGCCAGGTAAAATATAGGATGCTTATGCACTAATTAGTAATACACACACACACACACACACACACACACACACATACACACACACTGTTTTTTTACCTCAAATTCCAATTTTTTTTTTTTATTATTATACTTTAAGTTCTAGGGTACATGTGTACAACGTGCAGGTTTGTTACATATGTATACATGTGCCATGTTGGTGTGCTGCACCCATTAACTCGTCATTTACATTAGGTATTTCTCCTAATGCTATCCCTTCCCCTGCCCCTCCTCAAGACAGGCCCCCATGTGTTATGTTTCCCGTCCTGTCTCCAAGTGTTCTCATTGTTCAATTCCCACCTGTGAGTGAGAACATGCGGTGTTTGGTTTTCTGTCCTTGTGATAGTTTGCTCAGAATGATGGTTCCAGCTTCATCCATGTCCCTCCAAAGGACATGAACTCATCCGTTTTTATGGCTGCATAGTATTCCATGGTATATATGTACCACATTTTCTTAATCCGGTCTATCATTGATGGACATTTAGGTTGGTTCCAAGTCTTTGCTGTTGTGAATAGTGCCACAGCAAACATACATGTACATGTGTCTTTATAGTAGTATGATTTACAATCCTTTGGGTACATACCCAGTAATGGGATCACTGGGTCAAATGATATTTCTAGTTCTAGATCCTTGAGGAATCGCCACACTGTCTTCCACAATGGTTGAACTAGTTTACAGTCCCACCAACAGTGTAAAAGCATTCCTATTTCCCCACATCCTCCAGCATCTGTTGTTTCCTGCCTTTTTAATGATCACCTTTCTAACTAGTGTGAGATGGTATCTCACTGTGGTTTTGATTTGCATTTCTCTGATGACCAGTGATGATGAGCATTTTTTTATGTGTCTGGTGGCTGCATAAATGTCTTCTTTTGCAAAAATTTTCTCCCATTTCCAATTTTTAACTGGATATCCTGTATTTTGATTTGCTACGCCTGGCAACCTTAGGGGGGAAGTGCGCAGGAAGGAACGTCTGGTGTTCCAGCACTATGTCTTGTTTCTCCCACTGGGAAATTCCACTACAACCAAATTTGTTTGTCTGTGGCCCCCTCACACAAGCCTGAGATTATGTTTGTTATAATCAACTCAGTTCTTCAGTAAATATTTCTAAATGCAAATAAGCATCAAAACCTTCTGAGCCCACCTAGTGGTTTAACAGACTTCCTGACATTCTCTCCATTCCCTACTCTTAGGATGCCCTGTCCTTATCACACGGGAACACACACACTCACAAAGGGAAAAATCAGTATGATTAATGGGGGGCTACAGTCATCTTTACCGTCCTTTCCAATTTTTGACCTTGCATGTGGAATGTGAGTAGCATATTCACTGGTGCTTTGTATGTCCAAAAATTCTCTGAGAGATAATCACTACCTTGACTGGGTATAGAATTCTTAGATCATAACCCTTTTCTTTCAGTGTTGGTAAATATTGTTCCACAGTCTTCTGGTTTCCAGTTCTGCAAATAAATGTGAAATCCTTTTGTAAATGTCTCATTTTTTTCTATCCACAGTCTGTAAAATTTTCTTTTTCTCTGGAGCTCAGCAATGCCTCCTATGCCTGGGGTGTATCTGTTTGCAACAATCCTGGAAACTTCACTGAGCCTGAGCCCTTCCTTACTACAGACCATGTCTTTCTTCAGTCAGAAAATGTTTCATCTATTATTTCTTTAGCTGTTATCTCTCCTTCTACCCTTCTAGAACCCCTGGCTTTTTTCATATTAGATTTCTTGGTTATACTTCTTAGCATTTTGCTCATAAGCACCATATCTTTGTATTTTGCATTTTGACTTAGTTAGAGTCTCGCATATGATCATCCAGAATGCTAATTTTGTTCCCAGCAGTGACCAGTCTCTTTTATAGCTTGTCTATGAATTTTTTTTTTTTTTTGAGACGGAATTTCGCTCCTGTTGCCCAGGCTGGAGTGCAATGGTGCAATCTCCATTCACTGCAGCTTCTGCCTCCTGGGTTCAAGCAATTCTCCTGCCTCAGCCTCCCGGGTAGCCAGGATTACAGGCATGTACCACCACGCCCAGCTAATTTTATATTTTTAGTAGAGACACGGATTCTCCATGTTGGTCAGGCTGGTCTCAAACCCCCGACCTCTGGTGATCTGCCCGCCTTGGCCTCCCAAAGTGCTGGGATTACAGGCGTGAGCCACTATGCCCGGCTGAAATTTTTTAAATGAAGAAATCATTTTTCATTGTTTAAGAAAATTCATGTTGTTCTCTGGTTTTCCTTGACAGCACTTACTTCCAGTCTAATAAAGCTCTCCTCTGCCACATCATTGTGTTCTACCTCAGTACAAGCCACCTATTCTCATTGTTTACTAAATTCCTTTAAGTGGATAATGAATTTTCTTTTTCTACTCATGATTATATGGTCCCTGGGCACTCACACCGTTTGGGCTATTTAGGGTCTCTCAAACCAGAAGTCATCAGAAAGATGGTGGATTTGTGCCTCCTGGTGGGCTGGCAGTGAATAAGCTGTCCAACAATTACCAGCATCCTCTCTGCAGGGGTCGAGGAAGCAGCTCTGTCCCACATTCCCTGGCACGGGATAGTGTGGCAGTCCTCTTCTGCCTGGTATCACTGATCAGCAGGCTCAGGCAGTGTTTCCAGGGACCACATGCATCTGGCAACAGGTGCAACAGCTCTCTGAGGGTCCCTCAGGCCCTCTTAGCAGCTGGGCCTCTCAGGGAGTTGTGAAATCTCCCTTCTTCACCCCAGTCCTTGAAAATGGAAAGCCTTCTCTACCATACTCACTCCATCCTCACCTGAACCAAACTCCCAGCATCACATTTGCCTTCAGGCTCACCAGCAGGCCCACCCACAACTGCTTGACTCCACCAAGGGAATCGTGATGGAAAAAGCCTAGAGCACAGGGCTGGGGGCTGTCTTCAGGGAACCAGCTTCCCTCAACTTCCACTGTAAATATTACTGTTCTAAACCTCCTCATCACCAAAGCACAGTTCCTCTGGAATAGCTGTGTGAATAGCTAGCTCCTTTCAAGGCAGTATGGGAGAGCAGAAAAATAATCTAACCTTAGAAACTAAAGACTTGGGTCTGAGACCCAGCTCTGAGCATTTTGTAAATGTTAAAGTGCTGTGTCACCATGAGTTATCTCTGTAATCAGATTACTGAACAAGACTAAGTCCAAGCCTGAGTCCTGCACGGGGCCTTTACAGTGCTCTCCCAGGCAGCAGATATTTTTCTGCAGAGCACTCCACTCAAATTCTTTAGGGAGAGAGAACTATGATAAATCAAAGACAAAATAACAATAGCAGAGCCAACGCCATATTTTCCTAGCATGTTTATGAGGACATCATATGGAATAGAGCTAAAGGGCTTACTGAAGTCAGGATATTTTACGTCTATTGCTTTTGCCTTATCTTCCAGACCTGTCATTCTGACCTGGAGGAAATTAAATCGGTCTGATGTGATTGGCTCCCTGCACAGTCTTGTTGGTTTTCATCCAGTACCCTCTGGTTTTCTGGTATTTGTAAATTAATTGTTGGATGATTTGTTGCAATATTTCTCACAGGATAATAGTGCCTGTCATAGCACATGACATTTATAATATGTTTTTGAGTTTCTTGGCAAAATGTGCTCAGTAAATGTAAATTATTATTGTTGGCCTCTATCAAAGATGTCAGATGATCAGGCATGAGAATGAGTGGACAGGTTGGGCTCTCTCTGAGCAGGATATCCCACTCACTGAGTACTACCTCTAGGAAAGGGAACTGCAGCAATTATCCTTATCATCATCTAATTTGCAAAACACAACCACTTTTGCCTTCTTCCTTCCCTGTTCTCACTCACTCCTGTGGTCCACTAGGTAATGCACTTGTCTAGAGAATATTCCTTTTTTCAGAATGAAGACATCTTTTGAGCACATATGATTGTTTGACCCAAGAAAGATGTCAGAAGTGTCTACCTTGCCCCAATACCTGTCAATTCAGAGATTCTGGAAGCCAAAGCTGGAGCTCCAAGTCTCAGCCGCAAATCACAAGCAGAAGTCTGTGACACCATTTCAGGGTCTGTTATGAAACAGAAAGATAGAAGTCAGGGGAATGGGGTCCTAGGCTCAATGCCCCACTGGCTGGCTGAAGCAGGTCTACACAAACTCTCAGGGCTTCACCTGCCCTGTCAAGGGACTTGACTAGATGTCCTCAGAGGGTCCTTCCAGAGTGCAGTTCTGTTTGATATTGGGTTCTTAGTACACAGACATGGCAGATGCACCCTTAGACCAAAGGAGAATCAGATTTTCTGACTACTGATTAGAAAGTCCAATGGTCATAAGGTCTGGTGGGAAATCCCATGGACTTAGCCAAGGATGGCAGCAAGGATGAATCCCAGGAAAATGTTGAGCCAGGTAATGGAGGTTTTTGGAGGTGCTACTCCCCGCCCTCTCAATTCTTTGTTGGTTCTCTCTCCCTTCTCCACCTTTAGGCCCTTGGTGCCTTTATATTGTCCCTGATGGCCCATGAAATGCCCAGCTTAGTATGTCTTCTTTAGGCCATGTTTACTGCTCACATATTTCACAATCTACCTTCCGCCTTCAAACTTACCTATCCACTATCCCTATAAAAATATCTGCTTGGTTATTCAAACCATCAAGAAAACAAAATTGGAAGTCATATACGTATGGCTAATAATAGCTCATTGCTTTACATTCTAACTGAGAACATGAGGACCTTACAAATGGAGGCCGTTTGAGCTACGTAGCAGGAGAAGTGGTCTGGGAACCTCCCTAAGCACTCAAAACTCAACAGGTCAGTTGTAGATATCCTATTTTAATGCATAGCTCATCCTCCCATCAAAGGAAGAGAGCTGGGACGGCATTAAAAAGAGGTTCAAAACTGAAAACTTGCCACATTAAAAGTCAAAAAATACCTGACTCTGCTTTGCACCCTGGGTCCACGTATTGAAGACAACATGAATGGATTAAGAATAAGTATCTCTCCCTCACCCAGGCATTTGGAGCTCCAGGAAGCTACAAGGTGGCATGATGAGCAGGAGGAGTCCTGGTTTCTGGTTCTCTGATTGCCGCTTACGCACTTGGTGACTTCAGACAAGACTCTTCTCCACTCTGAGCCTGCCTTTGTACTGAAAACAGTGAGAGGTGATCAGGAGGTCTCTGAGGTCACTTTTAACTCTTAAATATTGTGGTTATCATCTTCACTTATCTTCTCCAGCATGAAGACACTGTAATGTCTTTATCACCAAATGGATACAGGATTGGGCAGATGTCTAGTTAGCATTCACCATTCCTGCTGGCTAGGGATGAAGGCTTTTATTCCAGATACACCCTTGTATTTTCTTTCAAAAGGATGCATCCTGGCCTTTAAGAGCTGGTTCTTGTCCAGAATCACTTCCAAGGAGCAGACTGGCCTTCCTCCCCTAGCAGCACTTTGAAATGTAAAATAAAGGTTTGTTCAGTTGTTTTTCACCACAAACTTAATTTTGGAGGAAAGGAGCCTAGCTGTTGCATTTGGAAATGTGCCGTACATCCTAATGATTTCAATGTTCCCACCAGTAGAAGTGTCACCTTCATAACCCCAATTCAGCCAAAATTTGCAAGCTGATCAGATAGGAAGGTGTCCCTGTATACACAGCAGAAGGCTCAGTCTAAGCTCCAGAGCTTTCTTGTCTCAGACCCTATGGCCCATTGAGCTATAACACAGTCCAACAAAACATCTGCCAGTCACACCACTCACAGCCTAAAAAATGCCACAATGAAGGAAGTGCCCATGAGGTCTTCACAGAAAGGAACCTGCCAAATGGTTTCTAGAGGAGACAGAAATTCTTGATTCGAATGTAGCTCTGAGATTTACAAACTAGTCACTTAAGCTCTCTGTGCTTCAGTTTCCTTTTCTGTGAAACAGGTAATAGCACCTGTCTTGCCTTTTGCAAGGATCAACTGAGGCGACAGATGTAAAAGAAAACACCTTGTAAACTATGGCTCTTTGGAGGAAAGTGGCAGCATAATTGTCAAAGAATTGTTTCAAAGTAGACCTGCCAAACTCTCACTCTCTAGAAATCTAACCCAATGTCCAGAGTAGGGCCTGATCATATGTATTCTGAAAAGGTCCCCAGAAGATTCTGATACACACTCGCCTGCTGTGTGCTGTGCAGAGGTAAGAGGTGATTGATAGGATGTGGGTTCCATTCCTAACCAATATCTGGGTTAGGATATTTATTATATCTAGAGACAACCATGCAGAAAATGGGAGTATGGACCCAAGGAGTCATGAAGAGTTTTAAAGCTCAGGTACAGGATCCTGGCCCCCCAAACCCTGAGAGGTAGCTAGGTCATCTGTCCAGCTGGGAATAAAGTAGAGTAGGGCACATTTAAAAAAAAAATAAGTCAGGGATGATATCTAAGGTGAGATGGAAACATGGATGTCCCAGGCTAGACAGAGATACCATTGAACACAGATAACTGTCAGGGCCTTCTGGGATTTCTTCTCTGTTTCACTATCTTGCCTAAGGTTGATCAAATCAGGCATTGACATTCAAGGTCCTAAAACAAAAGTCTATTCACTAGAAGTCAATGGCCAGAACCAGGTGAATCTCTCTTTGTTCCTTCACCCCGGTCCTGGGGATGGGACTCCTGTAGTGCAGACATGGTAGGGGCAGTGGATTAACCACTTCTTGGCTGGTCACAAATTTGAGGCTTGCTGCTGAGCTCCCAGGTTACTCCCCAGAGGAGGCATCAAAAACAGAGTCCTCCTGCCTGACTGATCTCTGACTCGCCTTCGTGATGTCAGAGATGCCTGGGACTCATCAGCCAGCCAATCCTAGATTAGTGATGGCACTCAATCCCAGGCCATGGACTTTTGACTCTTCATTCACATTGACTAACAAATCTCAGCCTGCTCATGTTTTCCCATATTCACGTATACCTGAACACAACGCAAGACCCATGACAGCCACCTTGCATATCCTGGATGGTCTTTGAACCTCTTCTTAGACAAAGGTCCTTCAAACACTTGAGTACCATTGATGGTGAACATATCACTAATACTGTTCAGCCAATGCTTACATGTGATATACCTTCTATGACAGTTTTTGTAAATAGCCTTGGATCTTTGACATTTCTCTTATTTTAAGGTGGAGTCCATATTCCCTCTTCTTGAATCTGGACAAACTTATGACTGCTTTGACCAGCAGAGTGTGGTAGAAGTGACACTGTATGACTCCCAAAGCTAGGTCAGAAAAAGCCACACAGCTTCCACTTGGACTCCTTGGAATACCCACTTTGGAGTAAGCCAGCCACCATATCAAAAGTCCAATACCATAAGATCACCATGCTGGAGAATTCACATGTGGGCACTCCAGTCAACAGCCCCAGTTGAGCTCCTAGGCAACAGGAAGCACCAAGTACAGCTGTGTGAATGAGCCAACTTGCCTGTCTAGTCTTATCAAGGACTTCACATGGTTCCAGCCCTAGTCAACTTCTGACAGTAGCCACGTCAGAGATCTCATGAAAGAACTGTCCACCTGAGACCTTCCCAAATTACTGTTCCAGAAAATTGTGAATAGGATAAAGTGGTTACTGAAGTTCATAAGTTTTGGGATAAGTTCTTACACAGCAAAAGTAAGTGAAAAATCTAATTCCAATTTTTTTTAATTACAGGAATAAAACTTGGTAAAAATCTTCCTGGAAGCAATTTCAACAATACCGAGCTACAGCTTTATGCCATGCATGGCCTTTGACCTCTCAATTGCAATTCTAGGAATCTGCTCTAGTGAACTGATTACAGATATATACAAATAATCCTCTGTATCAGCTCTCAGGATACTGGTGAGGGTTATCTGTAACATTAAAAGATTGGGAATAACCTAAATGTCCTACTGAGGCATTTGGTAAATAAACTATGATACAGTCACACAAGAAAACAATTTATACCCACTTAAAACCATATTTTTGAAGTATATTTGATGGCAAAATCTTCATGATCTATTGGTAAATAAAAATTGAGAATATAAATGGTATTTCCCTTCTACTAGAAATACATATATAAAGAAGGAAAAAGCTCAAATTATTAAAGTGATAATGTCTAAATAGTACTATGACTCACAGTTTTTATTTCCTTCTATCGGTTTTTTTCCATGTTTTTTACATTTTCTATAACCGACATCCGTTACTTTTATGACCAGTAAAAAGGATATTTTAAAGAGAAAGAAAAAAATGTGACACCCAAACTGCCAAGAATGTGAAAAGAGTCTATGTACCCAAGCATCAGCCACTTCTGGAGGGCTAAAAGGATTGTCAATCACAGCTACAGAGCCAAGGCAGAGTCCCCAGTGCCTCATAAGACTGTGAGAATCTAAACTTCCTAGTGGACAAGAAGCAAAGTGAGTTCTGCAGAGCAGGAGAAAGAGCATATGGAGCTTAGTTGGGAAACTGGAAACCCAGAAAGTAAAGATCAGAAACCAAAAGTTAAAGTACAGTTTACTATAGAATCATAGGAGAGTAATCATTAAGTGTGTGCCCATATATGGGAGTAGAGTGGAAGGAGTGTGAGCAGGAGCCATTGATTAGGAGCTCCTGGAATCTCCTTGAGGACTTGCATCAGCAAAACGCAAGCTCTAGGGCTACACTATCCAATATGGTAACCACCAGTCACATGAGTTACCTAAATTTAAATTAATTAAAATCAAATAAAATTTAAAACTCAGTTCTGTCACACTAGCAACATTTCAAGTGGATAATGGTTATCATATTGGACAGAGCAGAACAGAACTTTTCCATCATTGCAGAAAATGTTCTGATGGACAGAGTTGCTTGCTCTAGGGAGTTGCTCAACTTGGATTCTTAGATTTCTGGAGAGCTAACAATGAATAGCGTAAAGATGGAAGCGGGAGTCAACAGACCAATTGAAACCCAACTCTCACACTTATCAGATGTGAGATCTTAGACCCATTGTTCAGGACTCTCTCAGTGTCAGTTTTCTTATCCATAAAATGAGAATAATAATACTTACCTCATAGGCAGGTGATAAAGATTAAATAATTCAAAGAGTACGAACCACCAAATCAGAGCTTACATAAGGTATGTGCTTAAAAATCACCTGCTGTTATACTAACGAGAATCCACGGAGTCTTTAAAAGCCAAGGGCATCTCAGAATACCCCAACCAAACAGATCCTACTCAGAACCCAAGAACCTTTGCACCCAGACTCAGCCTAAAAATAAGAGGCTCTTTAGCCTTTCTTAAGGTTCTTTTAAGGTCATCTGGCCTCATACCTCATGTAAGCTCAGGCTGCTGAATGTCTAAGGAAGAAAGCTGGAAGATGCCCAGGAGTGTGGTAGCCATCATTCTTCCCAGAACAGAGCTTCTCAGTCCCACCCTCCAGATGAGAAAAAATGGCGTTCAGTGAGGTTATCAGCATGCAGCTGGGACTCAAGCCAGGTCTCCGGTGCCCCACGCATTCCCTGTCACCTGCTAAAATGTCTTACCATGGTGGCATGCAGGAGACTTTCTGAATCACAATCTAAACCCCTCCTTGGGCAGGAAAAGCCTGTCGTGGGAAGATGAGAGGAGAATGGAAGCCTCATCTTGGGAAGGTGGACAGCAAGACTCCTGCTATTCACCCAGATGCATGAAGAACTCAGTGCAAGCCAACAGGGGTTACACAGAGGACACAGAAAGCACTCCTGGGCATCACTTAATGGGGAAAGAGAAAGAGAAACAGAACACGCAGCTCATGGAAATGGACTCGGATGTCTACTCCAATCAGGATTGAGCACTGACCTCCGGAAGGAGGAACAAGGAAGAATTGGCCTTCCAGGGGAGGGCAGCAAGTATAAACACAAGCAACGCTATTCCTGTCCAGCTCCTACATAAAGCACAGTTACGGAGTGAAGGAGCCAATTTCAGCATGACAGGAGTAGGCATAAAAAGGATATGTGGAACCATACGCTCTTCCCCAGCATGGCATAACCACGTTATCACTAGATGAAGTGCTTGAATGGGTGCCGTGGCTAATTAACAGTGGCCCCCTTACAAAGAGAACTCCGCTTATTTTTATGGATGCGCTGAGCACAACTAGCAGAATTTAAAATCAGGCTCTCCCCACTCATCTATTTTTCTCTATAACTTGAACCATGTTTTCCCTGGGTTCCAGACTAATGAAATGCTTATTTAGAAACTGTGGCCATCTGCGGTTGGTACTGCCACGTTCGTTTCTGCTCCCTGCCTGAAGGTTGATGAGGTTCTGGGGCATGGAAAATTTCCCAGGATGCCTGGGCCTAGGAACCCAGTTGTGTGAGAAGGGAGACTCTGGGAAGAGAGGTCGAGATCGAGCAAAGGGTCCAGCTCCCAGCTCCTCCGTCAGGAAATCCTGACAGCTGGTATACTGGCGGCCTCACCTGCCACTGGGGCACGTCAGCCTGTGCAGGGAACTGGCAAGCCTCTCTCCAGCACCATAGGCATGGGCTCTACATGCTGGTGACTACAGAAGCTCATGCACCACTCCCATCTGCCCCTACCTCACTGTCTCCATCCATACAGAGGAGAACGCCAATCTGTGCTACTTCTTCCTTGCTGCTTTAGTGCTTGCTCTGGGATGGTTTCCCTCCATTTACCTGTGTGATTAGAAGAAATCAGGTGCATTACATTCCCCTCAATTAATAAAGTCGGCTCCAGGACCCCCCTGCCACTGTGGCTCCTTGCACACCCTCCTGATAGCCATTCCCCCTCCCCCAGCATTGGCAACCACAGATCTGAGACCTGTGTCTGTCCACAGTGATGGCAGTTCTAAACAGCTGGCAGAGAATGTGCAGCCTCAGCCTTGGATGAGCCCTGTGGATGGCAGGCTCCTCATTAATGCTATTCTCACAGTGGTCTGACCTGCTGGGTTCCTCCCCCAGCTCACCTTGGCCAATTTGATTTTCTTGGTTTCTGGTTGCTTTTCTTCCCTCCCAGTTCTAGACTCTCTTTATGTATGATAACAATAAAACATCAACCCCCTTCCCTGCCTGACCTCTCCAAATAACCACATCCTCAATTCTATTCCATAAGCATATGATGTGGGCCTACTTTGTGCCTGGCGTTGTCTAGGCCATCCATCCTCCCACTTGGCTCCATCAGGGCCAGAACCCTGCCTGTGCTTTTTCTCATGTTTCCCAACACCTGGCAAAGGCTGGTGCTTGACAAGTGTTCATGGAACAGATGAATTGTCTGCTTAAGAGGAGACACCCGTGCAAACAACCAATAAAACACAATGTGATTGGTGCTATAAAAAAGGTGAATACAAAGTCCTTTGGAACTCAGAATCAGAAAAAAGAGTAATTCATTGTGCCTGGGTAGAGGGCACCAATTTTGCAAAGGCATGACTGTGTAAGTGTGCAGTGAGGCTGAGGAGGTAACCAGCTCTGCTGCCCATGTTCTTGCTCAAAACAAAGTGATGAGGACACAGAGCGGCTGACAAGACACCTCTATGTGGGGGTCAATGAAGAAATCAGCAGGTCAAGCTGGTCCTGCCTTCCCAATGAGCACTTCTCAGGAAGTCCAGTCTCTGAACCTACTCTGTTAGGTTCCTGAGACAGGCTCTCAGGACACAAGGGTGAACCAGACTAGTCCCTCCCCTCAAGGAGCTTGCTGCCAAATGAGGGAGAAAGACCAATGGGCAATTACAGTGTGAGAAGGATGTCTGATGCTCTGCCATCCCTGGGCACATGGGCCACATTGGCTCCAACTGCTAAGAGCTCTGAGGTGGCAGGAATACCGGGCATGGGGGGGTGCACAGCACTCAAGACACTGGTTTGTTCTTAGAAGGACTGAAAAGGCCAGAGAAGGGATGGAAGACATGGCCAAGAAAAGCTCAGGTCTCACTGCCACCAGAGAACAGCCTCTGATGCTCTAGATAGGCTGGGCTCCCCCAACCTCAATCCAAAACTCGTCACTAAGGTGACCCACCTTCTGCATGAAGGCTGGCCCGTCTTCTGGGTACCAGGTGACCCCTTCTCACTCCCCTTCCCTTTCACCCAAAGCGATTTTCTCTTCCATTCCTTCTTCTCAGTCTTATCCCTCCTGGAAAAAAGAGGCAAAGTAGAAAGAGAAAAGAAAAAAGCACATTTGGAGAAAAGAGAGAGCAGCGAAGAAATGAAAGAGCAAAGAAAGATGGCAACATGATGAAGGCCACTTAGTTCTAAATCCGTGATACACCTTGGCTTTTAAAAGGGCACAGCTAGAGCCCTGTGCGAGGCAGGGTATCAGAGCCCTGGCATTGGGAAGTGATCCAACTCGTGGCTTGGTAAAAATAATTTACCAACAATAGTATAGGTTTGAAAAAGGAAAGTTGACTAGGAAGGAAGAACACTGCAAAGGGTGCAGCGGGGTGCCTCGGCGAGAGAAGACCGAGCAAGCCGCGGTGCGTTTTTCCTTGGGAGCATTTGGACCTTAGGGCTTGAGCTTAAGGGTAATTTGGATTATATTAGCCACGTAGGTCATGACAAATGATATTGCAGACATTTTGGTGCCTTAATGTCAGCAAAGGTTGCAGATTGAGTTTCAGCATGGCATTCCAGAGATGTATAGAAATTCTAATTACTTATAAATTTTGGAGTGGGAAAGAAATCTAGAACCAGATGCCTCCTTTAGATAGGGAGGAAGTCTAATTGCTTCTAATTTCCCCAGGTAATGAGTTTCATCTCTGGATGGCCTGTTTGATAGTGGTTTTTAACCCCTTCCAAATTCCTCAGATAAGGAGTTTCATCTCCGGGGCCTGTTCAATGGTCACTGGGTGATTTGGCTTTCCTCACCCAGTGATCTCTGCTCCAGGGCCAGGCTCGGAAAGAACCTGCCAAAGGGTCCTGGCAAAGACTAAGACCATTGTCCCAGGCTCTTGCCCTCAACACCACAGCCCTCCTTCCCAACACAGCTCCTGCTCTGAACCCAGAGTACCAGCCAGCTAGGAGGGGGGCTGATTAACAGTGGCTGCTTTGGATTTCTCCCCACATGAGGTGCCCATCCTGCACTAGAATTCTAGTGAGGTTACTGGTCTCACCTCACTCTGAAGAAGGGCATGGGAGGATTCAGAGGTCCAACAGTTTACTGGCTTCCCTCCTAATTCAGACGATTCTGCACTTCAAATTGCTTTGGTTCAAACTCCTTATGATTTTTCTGGGCTGCTGAGAGGAGAGTGTATTGATTCTGTGTTCTGATAAGGTCAGCAGTGATCAGCTCTGACAGTCAGGTGGATGGCCTGTCCCCTTCCCCCTCCACTAGATGTGGCTCCACATGCAGAAGAGGAGGGAAAGAAACAAGGCGGGGGAGGAGGAGACAGCGTCCTTTGTCTCAGTGGTTCTGAAAACCTCTTTAAGCCCCATCAGCAGAAGTGGACTCGTCTCGGATTGCAGTCTAAGAAGAGAAGTATGGGCACACTTGATCTTTTCTGTGTGCAGCTTCATTTTCCTTTTCCTCTCTGTGTGGCTGCCCTGAAGCTTAATATCATGGATGGTGACTCATTTTCCTCCAAAGAACCAATTAACTTCCATGTAACATCCGCAGATTCACAATGACACTGATTAACGTTCAGAACCTGTAGGATTGCTCAGACTGAGGTGGCTAGGCAGGCATAGAGAAGGCCCCTCTGAGGTTTCACGCAGTTGATCTGAACTCTGTGAGAAAAGTGCTCAGATCCTTCTCACTTTTCTGAGGCCACGGGAGGGCAGGCTGCCAGGAGCTCCCTCCCCAGAAAGAGTTCACAGCTCCCCATAAGTGGCAGGCATGTTCCCAATCCAACCTTGCCGGCCAGGGGTTCACACTCCTTGGAGATTTCCCAAATAGTATGTGAAACACTGTGTAAATGTATATGTGGATGTTTTCTAGAAAGGAGGGCCAGAATTTTCATCAAAATCTCCAAAAGATCCATGAGCCAAGGGAGGTTAGGAATTATTGTTCCATAGAATTCTTTCAAAGGTCCTTTAAAAAGCATCAGGCTCCCAAAACCACCTCCCAGCTGGCAGCGCCATGGGAGATGCCCTGAGATGTCAAAGTCTAGAACAAAGAGTGATGTCTTAAGTCGACCTGGGTGAGTTAGTGCAATGCTACTGCCCTAATGATCTGAAGGTCCCATCAAGAACAAGCGCCATGAAATGACCAGTGACTTGACAGGCTTGCTAACCAGTGGGAAGGAGCGTGAGTACTGAACCCACAGCACAAGAAGCTGTGGTCCTGACATCTGTTGGATACCAGCTACAAAACTCTGCTCAGATCCAAGTGCCACTGCATTTGAACCAACCTCAATATATTCAGAGCCCCTAACCAGTTTGGTTGAAGGGTCTGAGATCACAACATCAAACCCAACAGAAATCACAGCTGCTGCTGAGTGGCAGCTTACTCCACACAGCACAATGTTGGGTGCTTCAGGCACAGATGTCATTACATACAACAGTCCTGTAAAGTGCCTCCATCTCCATTTTACAGGTGAAGAGTTTGAGATTCAGAGAAACGACGTGTTCACAATCACAAGACCAGTGCGTGGAGATATAGTTGAGTTTGAGCTAATGTCTCTGTGACTCCAAACCCCATGCTTCGGGACCTTATTCCATAAAGGAATAAGGTTGCAACTGGGGAGCAGCTTAGAAAAGAGAACCCCTGGAAACATGACAACAGAGAATGAGATAAACTACTGCTACAAAGAGAAGAGCTGGGAATAAGACATGAAGTTACTAGAAGGCAGATTTATGTTATATAGAAGCTTGTTTGGGTTTTTTGTACCTAGCAACATTAGATAGTAATTCAAAGCAACTGCCATGCTCACAATCCCCTTCCAAGAAAAATTGTCCCACTGAAGCCCCTACTGAGAGAAGCCTTACACCATTTCCTGAGCAGAGATAACCATGGTTTTCTCTACAGGAATCCTTTGCCACAACTGATTGGACCAAAAGTGAGTTCCTGATCCCAAGCAGATCCTGGTAGGAAAAACTCAGGGCTCACAGTGTGTTGTTAAGGTACTGCTTGCTGCTATAGCAAACCCAAACATGTATGATGGCTTAGTTCCCACCTGACTCAAATCCCACCCTTCAAAGCTGCCTGACCAAGTCCAGAAGCCACTATCCACAATCTGTGTAAATGACACCCCTTAAGTCAGACACCAGGAGAGGTGTCACTGACCCCACATGCCAGCATCTCCAAACCTTAGCTCTTCCCATGTTAGGATCTCTGACACGTGGAGTATTCTAATTGTTCTGGCTAAAGTTTAATATGGAGAAAAACTAAAGCACTGAGAGGTTAAAGGGCAACCTTAATAGCACAGAATGCAATAAGCTCAATGGCATTTGGATTGACCTGCCTGTTTTCACCTAGCAAAGTAAAGCACTGTCTATAGTTTCAAGGCCAATTGGTGTTTCTGTCTGTTTGTCTGCCTACTTGTCTTAACATCCTTCGACACAGTAATCAAAAGTCCCTGATAAAAACAGAAAAGTTACAACTGTTAAAATAGAGGTATTTGCTGAAAGCACTGGTCTTTTGCTTAAAAAAAAATCTTTATCCATGATATATCTATTCTAACTTCCTGGTCCACAACTATTTCCAAGAAGACTGTAACTCAGACCTTAGCATAAGGTCACTGACACGTGACAGCCCTTAATGAATATTTGTTGAATGAATGAGTAAATGAATGAAGCCAAGCCTTTACACAATGCATTCAAAACTGCCCTTGATGGAAGGAGAGGAAGAATTAGCCAATGGAGGAAAATAAAACAAGAAAGAATAGTGTAACTCTGAGACTGAACTAGAATTATCAGGTGGTCCACACCGACGGCCCTCACCAAGCTACAGGCATGTGTAGGTCCCCCAGCTAACCAAAGTCTCCCTCAAGCTGTTTCAGTGGCCGACCACCATCAGCACACTCACACTCTGCCTAGACCCTGCCTTCCCGCCCTGCCCCAGGCAGCCAGAGCTATGTGGTCCTTCACTGCCAAAAGCATTTCTGGGAGCTGGCGTAGAGCCCTTAAAAGCCTGTGGGTGGGACGGCCTGTGAACACGTATGGACACAGCTTATCTTGGAACCCCTCAGGTGAGCAAACACATCCTTGCTGACTGTAGCCACCAGAAGCCTGTCAGATTCTCATTTAGAAAATCTGTTCTGGGCCCAAATATCAGCCCAAGGACCAGAAATGGCCAACAGGCACAAAGGTCTGCACTTCTGAGCTGCAGCTTCATCGATTTAAAATATCAGCTCTGAGATGTCACCCCATTTCTTTCCAGACAGAATGCATTATCCAGTCTACAAGATGTAGCAGATTAGGAAAGCCAGAAAGGATCGACATGTCCATTCCAAGTGGACTCTCTGGGGTAGCCGATCTAGAGACTGAAAACATTTCTCTTTCATTTATTGCTCAGCTTTTATTTAAAGGGAAAGGCCCCAAGTGGAATTGAGAGCATTTGGGTTGTTTTAAGGGCATCTTTCCTTTCTGTGACACCGTGAGCCTGCTCTCCTGCTCTCCATTTTTCCAAGCTCCAGAGAGAAACTCCGTTTGCCAACACTTGAGTGATTTCACCTCCAGCGTTTCCATGGTGATGTACATTCCCGCACAGCCTGGAGAAAAGGTGCAGCTCTAAGTGAGGATGAATATGAACAAAGCCCAGCAGCCTTGCTGGGCCTGGGGGCTCTCTTGGAGGAGCTGGGCTGCATAGAGCCCTAGACCCACATAGTCTCTGCCCTCAGGTGTCCTGAAATGGCCTTTCCTTACCTGAGAGAAGACAGGCCTATTCCTGGAAACCTCAGTTGGCAGGGGCTCCAGGGACCAGGGAAGAGAAGAATAAGTTGTCCAGAAAACGTGCACAGAAAATCTCCAATACAGCAAACTCCAAACAGCATGCTGTCCTGCACTATACAGGGTCTCCACGGCCCCTGGAGTCTATGGGGCCCTGGCCTTTCCCCTGCCTTAGGCCAGACTAGGTCACCTGCAGCCTGCCATTGAATTGTCCAGCCCTGACTGTAAAACAAAAGCAAAACAAAATAATTCCTCAAGAGGCTAAGGCTGACTCCTGCTACCTGGGGAGCACTGCAGCCTAAGGTAGGGCT